TGATGTTAGGGGTGTCACTTCTATGTCAGATTTTTTGCAACTGTAGTTCTTGCAGCCGCTAGAAGACAAATAATCAATTTCCTGTGACCCTTGCATGTTGCAGAGTTCTCAGGAAGGTTCAATAGAAACACTAAATGGTTATCTCTTAATTGGTATCCTGTTATTTCCCTCACCTTGTTTCCAACTTTCCAAAACAGTTTAATTCTGGGTCCCATCCACCGCATGTGGTAGAATCCTTCCAAACGACCACACTACTTCCAAATTTCTGTTCTTACACCATAAATGCATTTAATTTTGAGTGGGGTGAGATACCATCAATTTGGGACTTCAAAATTATTTTGTTCTTGTGCAGATGGGTGTGTGGGGATCATTATTCCTGATAGTCTTCCATTCTTCTGCACTTATTTTTCATCCAGATTATAGAGCTTCCTAATAAATTATTAGGTTTAAATTAAATATTGTTATGTATAGGTGCTAAAGGTGATGGGTGGTAAAAGCTTAATTTTTTTTATAGTACTGTTTTTTTAATAAATGTTTAGAGAGCCTCTCTACAGGAGCATCTGCAACTCATTTTAATAATAAAAAAAAAGGAAAAAAGGAAAATTCAGGATGTGCATAAAAGTCTATTGGGTCTACTCATGTTATCTGTTAAATATAACATGTTAAATGGTATTTCAAAGTTGAATGTGTCCTTCTGGCATGCACAAAGAGATTTAATGTAGAAGTAATTGTTCAATAACAATAGGTATTTTTATGATGTAGATATGGCAACGATGACCAGCTGTCTAAAGAATCTACTTGTTCTGGACCTGAAGATGTGAGAATTGTAACTGTGAAAGAAGAGAGGGATTTGTCAGATGACTGCTTGTCAGCAGAGACAGATGACACGTTAGTGACAGTGTTGTTCCTACATGTCTTATGTCTGAAAATATTTTGTGTTGATTTTCATCACTTTTAATTTTGTTTATTAGAAAATCATCATTCATGTGGTTATTTGTTGTTTAAAAACAACTTGTATGCTATGGATGGCTCAAGTGCTGGGAGAACCTCAGAGATAGTTTGGGAAAGTTGGAAAAATGTAGGGAAGCACACAGCAAACCTGCTTGTCTACTTTCTGCTTTCTGTAATTGCATGTAACATTCTCAGACACAAATATAGCATATCCTACAGATATTTTATAGTGAAATAGTCTGTAGGTCTTGTTACTTTTAACTAAATGCAGTCTGTAGACAAAAAGGATTGTTGCACACGCAGTTCATTTTGCTCAAAGGAAAAATATTTCATTGTTGGCTTTTTGAGTGATGTGACATACAAAGTGACTTGTTAACCTATCTAAAAATAGTGCCGTGCTCATGGAGGCAACCACACCATCAGTCGACTGCTGATTTCTTTTACTGCAGTACCACCAGTAACTGAGGCATTCACAGTTGAGATCAAAGGAGCCTCAAATAGGTATGATTGTCCATTACTCTTTATTTAGGTTTCATTTATCCACAACACTGTTACTGAATTATTTGGTCCACATCCTAGTTATCTGATCTTTTTAAAAAATATATTTTTTAATGTATGCAGGGGGACACTGGGAGCCTAGGACATTACATTGGCATTGCATGGTGTGTCCAAACCCCTCGCTAATATGGTGAAGTATGTAAGGCATGCAGCATGTTTGTCTGAATCTCATTTTCTACTGTTACTCTTTGTGACTTTGCTAACTCTTCTCCCTTTGATTTTTGACAGGTGAGCATGTGAGGCTTCTGGAAGCAATTCTTCCTGTGATGCAGAAGCATATTTACAAGTCTGTTAGGTAAAATTAAAGCAAATGGCAAGCTAGAGGAAGGTGACAAACTCAGATACTTTCTTCAAGATGGCAGTTTTTAAAGTGTGACAGAACTCTAGCTTAGAAAGTGGCTAGGATCTGAAGTGGATGTTTGGGAACTGATCTAGCATGGGTAAGTGAATTTTTTTATGGATTACTTTGTTTTATGTCCTCCTAATGCTGAGTTTTCCTTCTTTTTGATCTTTCCTTTTGATCCCACAACCAGCCTTCCTCGGTACCATGCGCAGCCTACCTCCCTGGTAGTCCCTGTGGTTGGGTATATTGTAGAGACACCCAAGCAAACTCTGTATATGCTAACTTCAGAAGTAGCATAGCCACATTTGAATGATTCTGTGCTGGACAAGGAGCGCTCCTGGGAGGCAGAGCTTGCTTAGTCTGCCTGCAGTATCTACTAAGGCAGCTTTGCTGCTTCATGTTTCAGGGCTGGCTTGTGTCAAGACAGTGCCCTGCTCTGAAATATAACTCTGTAGTGCTGAGGAGTGTTTTGAGAGGGCTGGGGCATTGACTGATCTTACCAAGCTGCTATTACATCTGTCCTTTTGCCACTATTTGAGACTGCTGTTCTAGTATGTCCAAAATTCTGTGCAAAGTGGTTTAACATCAATTAAGCTTTTTTCATAATCAAGGATTAGGCAAATATATGGTAGTCTGGTGCAATCTAGTAAATCTCATTTATGTGAAGATGCATGTTGGGATTAACATTAGTTTACTCTGAAGACACATGCTAAATACATTTATTGTTAAAAAATAAGCCAGGTTTCTAGATATATGTACACTTGAGGATGTAAAATGAATAAATAGCAGTTAAGAACTAGAAAAGTTGGAAATACAAGCTTTTTTTTATTATGTAACAAGAATTGTTTAAGACACTGACACTACTGAAGAATGTGTGCGTGGATCACTTGCATGGCCAAATATAGTGTCTACAAGTGATACCGTTTAAGTAAGATATGTAGACTGCTGTTACTTGAGTGTTTGTATTTCTTCACAATCTGCAATGTATTTTTCCTTGTAGTATGCCTGTTGAGGTAGCATAGTACTGTTAACCCCATTTTATAGATGGGAAAACAGATATGAAAAGCAAACGTGCTGCCCAAAGTTAGAGAGGAAAGGTCTCTCAGGGCAGGGAATTAAATCTGAATTTCCTGAATCTGAAGTTAGTACTCTAATCACTAAATGAGTTATAGCAAAGATGGTGGTGAGAGTCTTTCTCAGCTTAGCAAAAAACAGTTTGTTTCACTTGAAACGGTTGATCCTTTACCTCTTCAGGATATTGTTTTTCTTTTTGGTTTGTTTGAAAAGTCTAAGAATTCAATTCCAGTTTAAGGGTAAAGGGGGAGCAAGGTATCCTGCTTCCCTGGGTTTTTGCGTGTAATGTTGTCCTTGAACACTTGAGAGAGAACTGTGTGTTGTGCACATATCTGAAGGCCCAGGAAATATTAATTTATTGTTCTCATAGTGAAGTGTCATGTACTTACTTAAAGTACTGGTATGTTTAGCAGTCATACTGCAGTTTGTTTTCCACATACCCTTACTTAGCTAATTAATATTTGTAAACAAATAATTTTAATGCAACCTTTTGAACAATTGGCACACAGGACTGAAAGAGATCTCCTGGGCCACCAGATTCAGTCTGATGCATTTGCAGAAAACTATTTACCAGGGATTCCCCAAATCAACACTTCAGACCCTTGCGTGCAACTGCAAGTCACAAAACAGCAGTACAGCAGGCCAGAGGTAGAAGCAGGGGCAAAGACTTTGAAGCACATACAATGCAAGGTGAAGTCTTCAAAGCTCTTCCTGGATCTCTGGTAAATCAGGATAGACTCCAATAACAAAAAACCCATTGAGATGAGAAGCCAGCATTTCTGGGATTATACCTACAGCATAATGTTAGGTGATTGTATGATGCATACAGAAGAATGTCTTCTGTCTTCATATTTATAAAGACTTATTTTGCCTAAACAGTATAAATGAACAATCAATTTATTCAGTGACCCTATTCTCGTCGGTGCCACAGTTATTGAGTTTTTCATTAGGGTAAAACTAAATTTGTGAAGTGAATTGGTCCTCATTATTGCTACTGCTCATGTAGTGACAGTAATACTATTACAAATATATGTTTCTGGGCCCTGTTATGTGTTGAAGTTGGACATAACAGTACCTCCTTTAAAAATGGTTGTTGCTAAAGAGTTTTCCTGACAGTTGTGGGTCCTTCCAAGACATACTGTGTACTAGAGGATACTCTTCTTCCCAAGGAGTCTTATTTGTTTGGAGGGCTGGAAAACAGTATCCAAACTGGTCAGTTTACAACAGTTTAAACCAAGTTTGGACTATGAGAACACATCCAGTAGAGCAGGGATGTAAAAAATGTGGACCACGGGCTGGTTCCAGCACATGGAGCTATGTCATCTGGCCTGCAGGGGTCTGAGAAGGGCCCAGGTTTTCAGGGGTGGAGCAAACAGGTCCAGGGGCAGGTCCATCAATGAATTCCCAACAGGCTTCTGTATGCAGACGCACATGTTGGTGATGGAGGAGTTAGCAAGAGGTGTATTAATCTTTGTGGCTAAGGAACCCACAATGGTGAATGCCACTACTCACAACATCATTGGAGGTGAATCTGGATCTAGCATGCAAGGAACTGCACAGTCCAGATGTGACTCAAGGAGCCAAGAATTTGATACCCCTGAATAAGACTACTAAAATGAAGATCATTAAACTGAAGATTAGTAGCCACCACCTAGATGCACAGGTTTTTAAATACTTGAATGGGATGGGTTGGAGATTCCCAGACCTAAGAAATGAAAACTGTAATGCAGTTTTAAAGTCTTTAGACTTAATGTTCTGAGATGAATGGGAATAGTTCACACTACTTCCTAAGGGCAAATCTTACATTCTGTTTTTTCAGTTCTAGAGGACTTTTTGTCAGTGTCTGCAGTGAGGATTTTCTGAAATTATCCCACCCTCCCGTAGAGGAGTTGAGAAGATGTGTTTAAAATGCTGATAGCCCTTCTAATGTGATGCAGGAGATTTTCCTAGAATGCTCAGTGTAGATAAGGTTTGCTAGTGGAACCACTGCAGTTCTGATGAGGTTTGGAGGAGCTCGTGTGGCATATGAATACCTCTTCGCACTGATGATTCAGTTGAGGACCCATGACTACTTTTCAGGGTACCTTCTTCACCCCTTACACCCTCTGTCATAGAACAAGTGATGAGGAGAGGTCCACCCTGAGGCTGCAGTAGCAACCGCAGAGGACCTCTGCTGCTGGATAGTGGACTTGTAGGGAGATGAGTAAATTGTTTTGGCTTAAAAGAATTTCTCTATAGAACCTGATTACTCAAGCTGCATGTAGAGCTATGAGTTGAGCACCTCTTGTCACTTTGGGTATATTCAGAATAGTAACATGGTTTTGGTTCAAATATGGAAGGGTATCTTTTTAGCCACATATATTACACGTGGTTTAAAATCATTAAAAACAAATCAGTTCACAAAGAATTGCTTCCTCCTCACCACAGACTAGTAGATTTTTCCAAAACTGACCGTTTTTGCCAGCGTGCTTTCAGCCGCAGCATTACCAGTGCCTAATATGGAAATCCTTACTTGAACTAGAATGAACTGATGTAGCCAGTTTCCTTTTTTAGCTTATTGTGTTAATATTTTATATTAGGAAATGTTTACTTATATCATCTACCACTATTTTCCTACTGTAACTTCTGAAGTGAATGTGAGACTATATTTTTGTTCTTACAGCAAAATAAGATAATTACTATACCTTAACTTTCATAGTCAAATTCATTGTTACATTGTATGCTAAACTAAGGAATTATATTGAAAAGAAATATTGCAAATATATACTAATATGGCAAAAAGTATTGCACATGAGAAACAAAAATGAAATGTTACCAATTTTCATAATCCAGGAACTGGATACAAAAATGGTCAAGTGACGTTCTGGTGCTAAATACTTTTCCAAATATAACTCCTGTGTTAACGATACCATATTTGTATTACTATTTCTGCAACCTTCAGAAATCTAATCTTTAATGATTA